AAGAAGAAGAAGAAGAAGAAGAAGAAGAAGAAGAAGAAGAAGAAGAAGAAGAAGAAGAAGAAGAAGAAGAAGAAGAAAGGCAGGCGGTATCATTTTCAGCATCTACACCACTGAGAGTTTTAGCTCCCACTGATCCAACATTTTTAGATGAAATGTTGGAGTCCCTTTCTCTGCAAGAAAATAAAAGGTCATTTGCAGGGCATTCTCCAATCTGCTTTTTCATTTGGGTGGCTGAAGCCAGTTTTGGCTGGCACTGCTAGGAACGGGAGCCGGTGGAGGTGAAAAAATGGCAATTGGAAACCAATATAATTGTTGAGGTTTGCAAGATCAAAGAAAAAAGAAAACTGTGTTATCCCAGTTCAGAAAACTGTCAGCTGCTTGCTGTGATGGCAATGCTGTTCCTTTTTTTTCTGGTGTAGAGACAGTCTTCAACTTACGACCTCAATTGCGATCAGAATCCCTATTGTTAAGCAAATCACTGCAGTCATTAAGTGAATACTGCACTCATTAAGCCAATCTGGCTTCCCCTAAGACATACAACTCATTCCAATCATTCAATTATATAAAATAGAAAAAAGTTCACTCCAGAGGGATGTCAGCTGGTCAAGGGATGAGCCCTAAGATGCCCAATCTTTAGAGACCCCCATAGCTGGACATTTCAAACAATGGCATCCCCCCAATAAAATAGCCTGACCCTCATTTATATGAATCACCATTTCTCCGATAAAACTATTTCCGCAGAGAAGTGGGGCAGAATATTTGGGGGAGATTTTAAATTCGGGACCTGCCCCCCTTGGGTTCCGTCAATATGATTGACATTGTTCTCTCTTTGTTCTCTTGTTCTCAAGTCCTTATTTTTGATCTAGGCTGTTCACAGCTGCTTCGGAGTGGAGTGGCACAGAAATGTCAGGGATGAATAAAGGAACAAATAAACAAGCAGATGAAAGAGAAGTTTGAACTATTGGAGGTACAGCAGCCTAGCCACCTCAGAAACGGACCAAATAATTAAGCCCAACAAAGCGGGGGGGGGGAGAGAAATGCCCACTGCTTATGTTTTTGAGGATCAAAAGGAGTTTGCTATAGGTCAGTGTTTCTCAACCTTGGCTGCTTGAAGATGTGTGGACTTCAACTCCCAGAATTCTTCAACCAGGACACGGAAGCTGAGGTCCACACTTCTTAGCATTCCCAAGGTTGAGAAACACGGCTATAGGCCCGTGATGGAGAACCTAGGGCATGCGTGCCAGAGGTGGCATGCAGAACTCTCCCTATGGGCATGCGTGCTGTCACCAGCTGCTCTTCACAGGTGCTGGAGCGCCAAAAAAGGACCTGAAAATAGCCAAAAAAACAGGCTGCTTTGGGGGGCATTTTTGGCTGTTTTCTGGGCTGTTTTCAGGACATTTTCTGGGCTGTTTTCAGGCTGTTTTTGGCCCCAAAATGGCTGAAAATGGCCCAGGAAATGGCCTGGAAATGGCCTGAAAACAGCTGGAAAACGGCCCCAGAAAATGGCCTGAAAACAGCTGGAAAACGGCCCCAGAAAACGGCCTGAAAAACAGCCAAAGAATAGGCATGCAGGCACCGGTCAGCTGGTCTTTGGGTTTCCGGAGCTCCAGTACACCTTCTGGTTGGGGCACTTGGTGCTGAAAAGGTTCGCCATCGCTGATATAGGCCATGTAGAAATATCATCATCATCATCATCTCAGGTTGGTTGAGACAACAGGTTGGATTGGAAGTGCCCCTACACCTGGCATTTTACCTCATCTGACCTTGTCAAGCCACCGCATACTTTTGTGAGAGTCAAGGACCCTGTTGAGCAGGGGTGTCAAACTCTATTTCATTGAGGGCCACAATCAGGGTTGTGTTTGACCTCAGAAGGCCAGGGTGGTGGTGGTTTGGCCGGCTGAGTGCTGCAGGTGGCTGTGGAGACCGAAAACGGCCAGCAGAGACACCATGGGCAGGTCCTTTGGTATTTCCAGATTTCAGCCTTGAGTTTGACATCCCTACTGTAGAGGGACTCTCTAGTCTTAAAAACAAAAAGCATTTCCAAAAACTGAGCAATACCTGCAGAAGTACTCTTTGTTAGTTCTACTGTGCACTTACAACAGTTCATTTAGTGGCCGTCCAAAGTTACAACAGCACTGAAGAGAAGTGTCTTATGACCATGTTTCACACTTATGAACCTGGCCGCATCCTCATGATGATGTGATCAAAATTCAGACACTTGGCAACTGACTCATACTTATGACAGACGCAGTGTCCCAGGGTCATGTGATCACTTTCGAACAACCAAAGTCAATGGGGAAGACAGATTCGCTTAACAACCATATGACTAAATTAACAATTACAGGGATTCATTTAACGGCGGCAAGAAAGTTCGTAAAAGGGAGCAAAATCCACATAACAGCCTTCTCACTTAGCAACAGAAATCTTGAGCACAATTATGGTGGTAAGTCGAGGACTACCTGTATTTAATATTTCACATGGCTCGTATATCCTGGCAGTCACAATAAAATAATAATAATAATAACAAGCCAGGCTACCTTATACCAGGTTAGATGGGTTTGCATGATGGAATTATAGAATCAGAATTGTCTCAGAGATCATCTAGTCTAATCCCCTGTGCAATGCAGGATCCATTATAGGATTTTACGGAGATGACTATCAAGCTTCTGCTTGAAGACTTCAAACGTAGTTGACTAAGCCATTAGTGGGCGTAAAGTCAGACAAGAGAAACCACAAGAGCTTGTCTCAAATCTCACATAAATGCACAGATATAATATGATATATTACAGCTTGGCACCACGTGTGAACCAAACCTCTCCTTCAGTTAGTTTTTCAATGTAAACCAAACAAGGAAACCATGTAGGTTAGTGTTACTTTTATCATAAGGCTCTAGTAACAGACCTTTGCACATTTGAATGTGTTCTGTCTTTGTTCTGACCCAGACTTCTTTAAAAAGTATGACCAAGTCTTGGTCTCCGGCAAAACCTCTTTTATTTAAAAGACTGTGAATTCCTTTCATTCACAGTCTGCAAGGCTTAGCAAACAGTCTTTCAGAGGAATATTTATCAACATGAACCTTATCTCGCTTGGATAGCTGCCAGATAACTAGTTTCCAAATGCAGGGCAAGGCAACACTTGGCACAGAGCCTCTTATAGTCTCAAACAGAACTTTCCACTCTGGAAACGACCGAAGGAACAAATTGTTTCCTGCAAAAGCCCACTTCCCATTCGCTGCTCTTTTGTTTCCTATGGGAGGAGCCAATCTCCTCCAAGGTGTGGCTTTACTCTCAAGTCAACTCTGCTTTCTTAGGTCTTGTCTTCTGGCAGCTCTGCGCATGTACACACTGGGAGCAGGCTCCAGCTGTACCTTTGACTCACTGCTGTCTAATTCCCTCTCTGCCTCCCATGCAAAGCCCTCCTCTAAGCTTTCCTCAACCCCCAGGACTGGCTCCTGTTCCTCCCCAACCTCCTCACTGTCTGACTCTGGTGCCAGCTCCTCTGGCCACCAGCGGGCCATACCAGTCTTTTATCTTCATCTGAACTAGAGAGAGGCTTTCACATATTACACTTTTGAACTTGGACCCCTTTTGTTGACAATTGCCTTGGTAGCTGCTCTTCCTTCTATTCATCAACGCCATTCCCTCTATGCTTTTGTTCTCTTTTTTTTAGTTTATACTGTGTAATAGAACCACCTGATTGCTACCCAACCCAACATGGAGATTTCGCTTGGGAGTTTACTCTTTAGTTTCAGTTTTTCCCTCTCCGAAAAGGGTCCGCTTGGGTGTGACAGGTGATTCTGGTCCAGTGGTGGGATTCAAATAATTTAACAACCGGTTCTCTGTTCTAATGACCAGATGGGTAGGCGGGGATTAGTGGTCATGTGACCATGTGGGTGTGGCCAACTCAACATTACTCAGGTCGATGGGCACTTTGCCTTAGCTGTTACAATATAATAAGAGTTAACCAGAGAGG